CTTAACTGAGACAACACAGCTCCAGGGAAGACAGCTCTTGCTAAGAATGGAAAACAGTGTCACCATTAATCATTCAGCAAATGTCTTTTTCAAGGGCCTACTGCATGGCAGGCCTTATGTGAGTCTCTGAGAAGGAAGGGAAAAATAAGGCAAGCCCCAGCCTTCTGAAACCTGACACTCTGCAACAGCAGCTGGAATCAAAGCAGAATGCAAGACTTGAGTTTCCTACTATGCTTTATGCTCAATTTTCGAGGACTATGCAACAATGTCTTCACCACCACCTATAACACCACATAGCACATGGATGAGGCATGCCTTCTTCCTTCATAAATACGGAAAATACCACTATTTTACAGGATGAACTTTAAGGAAAGACAGTGAAGAGAATGCAAGTAAATGTCACCAATGAACCTGCACCTAAGATGGCCTCTTGTAATCTACAACTTCACATGAGGACAGCACAAGGGGAGAGGCCAGACTGGCACATGGTCAGAATAATTCTTTTTGGGTAGCAATATCCCATGGTGAGCATTTCTTGTCCCTGCCCTCTCTGTGCCAGCATTATCTTCCATCTTTCTGTCATTACTTAAACCAAAAAAAGTTCCAATATGTTTAAAGGGATGGAATTGACTCCAAGTGAAAGCCACGTTACATATTCTGATCATCTATTTTTAATTTTGCATTCATTTTTACAAGTTTTGTTCTTACTATTCCAACATGGACTCTAGTCTTGTTGTTGGATATAAATAAAAAACATAAAGAAGGTAACATCTTTCTAAAAATACTACAGTAACTCTGTAATCTGTATATATGAATTCTTTCCTTAGAATAAGACTGTTTTTTTTTTAATTCATTAAGTTTATTGGTACATTTTAGATTTACAATGTGATGACATTCATCAATGGGAATGTGTGCCTTTACATGATTTATCTTGTGAGTTTTTTTACCTGTGTTTCCCTGTCCTCCCTTCAACCCCTCCATCCCTCCTATTTACAAAGACTTTGTTTCTATTTTTCCTTTTCTTATATGTATTCCTTTCCCTTCTTTTCTTTCCCCTACCCCTGTGACTTCCCCTTGCCCTTCCCCTTTGAACCCTTTCTTCCTATTTCACCTTATCTATTATACATTTTGGCCCTCATGTACACTTACAGTTTCTCCTACCAGAGAAACTATTTAGTATTTACACATGTGTGTCCTATTTATTTCACTTAAGAGTATGACCTCAATGTGCATCCATTTAGCTATAAATGTCTCTAGTTTTTCATTCTTTATGGAGAGTAGTACTCCATTTTATTAAAAAAACTATTCTTTATCCAGGCACCCAATTTATGGGCAAACAGCCTTTCAATGACAAAGTATTATTATTAAGAAAAGCAATGATGAGATTAATGTTTTTAATTAGTCATATATATTTTTTTTAATTAACAAAAGCAACACTAGAAGGATCTAAAACAAAAATGAAAAAGAACTTCCTTCACCTCTGATCATACCTGTTTTTATTCTATAGTACAATAGTCATTCATTAGGATTTTTAAATACCATTTTAAACAGCTATCCTGATTAAGATAACAGGAATTAATCAAGATTTATTCACTCAGTCCATCAAAATATGTAACTTTACATATATGTTGACTAATATGTTCCATCAACATATGATAATAAACTATTAAGACTTCCCTTCCATCTTCAGCAAACTGAAGCAAATCTCTGTGTGGCAACAGATTCCTTTTCTTATCTCTGATCTGACTAAAGTCAGAGAGATCATGACATTCTTATCAGTCAATACCTGAATTGCCTCTGAGGTCTCACATTAGATCAATTTATATTGGAAATGGGACAGCTTAAGAATTCAGGCCATGATACAGACTCAGGAAAAATCTAAAACATCTAATTAAAGCATAAAATACACATTCTACCGAGGAAGGCAACCAGCTCAGTGTTTTATAGACTTCTAGGTTCTATTCGCTTCTAAAAAATTATCTCTAAGTATACTTATTTTATTAAAAATATTAAAAATACATTCTGTATGATCACTATGCCACTATTTATAAACTCAAACCATGGGATATCACTATGGTAACAGAAATATACAATCAACTTGGTTCTCTGTGTTATGATGGAAGCATTACTAATTAAAAAAATGCAATAAGATTAAGACAGGCAGAAACAATTTTACAATATAGTTCACATCTAGCTAATAAAAGAAAAAGATGAGTATTTGAGATCAAAGCATAGAAACATTCTGCTGTATAATGACTAACAATCACTCTTAGAGTTGAGGAAATGTAATGTTTTAAAAGAAATGAATGAGGTAGTAAGAGAATGATTATAAAACACAGAGGAAGAAAATTCAGACAGAAGAGCTACTGTGTCAAAATGACCATGTGCTAGGGTTAAATAACTGCTCCCCCCATCTTATATTGAGGGCTTGATCCCCCAGTACAGAATTGTTCAGTTATGGGGCTTGGGGACGTGTCCAGACCACAGCAATGCTAACAACATCAACAGGTTAATCCACTGATAATCTCGTTGCTGAATGTGCTGTTAGGAGTTGAGTTCTTAAGAGAATTACTCTTAAAGCCTCAGCCCTTGCCTGTTCATGAACACTGAAAGGAGAAAACCATTTAGTAAAGAAAACTGAAATGCTAGCTTTTTCCTAGCTAGGGAGTATCACCACATAGGTCACTTGAGCTGTTCATATTTCTCAACCATTTTTCTGTCATTTTCTATTATACTCACATTCAATAAACATCCTTTAAATGCATACTGTGTCTAGACCTAGGATTGCAAATGTTTTCTTAGAGACACATAGCAGATATTTTAGACTTTGCAGACCAAGATATAAAACCAAGGTTACCTGTATTTAATCATTTAAATATATCATGCCACATGAAAAACTATCATCAGTTAATTGAAAAAACAAAGCAATAAATCAATGAAACTAATATTGATAGCATATACTATTTTCTCCTCTCAATAACTTGGGGAAGTGGGTATTATACTTTTCAGATATGGAAACAAGGCTCAGATATGTGACTTGGTTGTACTGAGGATCAGAGACAGTATCCAAAGTCATGACTTCTCGATAACAGTAAACAAATCTCAGTACCCCACATGTAGCTTACTCATATGCAGAGGATAAAATGATTTCTATTAACACAGATTATGAGACACATCCTAGAATACATACCATATAACTCTATGGTATTAGGATAGGGGAAAGAAAATAAGGGAGTAAGAAAAAATATGAGAAAATGAAAAAATGGAAACAAAGTTTTTGTAAATAGGGAAGGGTAGAGGGGGTGAAGGGCAGGGGTACGGGGAAAAATGAGAAGCAAGACATGTCATGTAAAGGTACAAGATCCCAGTGATCAATGTACTGTACTGTATGCCTAAAAAGTACCAATAAACTCAATGAGAAAAAAAATTTAGTTGATATGTGTGATAAAACAATAAATGTTTGTGATTTCAGTGACCCAACACTGCCCTGAGTTCTAAAATCCTTGGTGTCAGCTAATCCTCACAACACTTCTTGTGGAAGTCACTGCTGCTGTGAGAAAACTGAGGAAAGGAAGAGGCTAAGTAACTACCTCAGACATCAGTAGTGATCTTTAATAGAAATGGAACTTTATTCCAAGTCTTCCTAAAAGCAGAACTCTAGTTGTATTGAGATTCAAGTTTCAATTCTCTGTGTTAGTTTGTGATTATTTCCTTATTTTTTTCTTTAGAGTAGCTAAGATGTAGTGATTTCCTGTGTTCCATCTCTGGAGTCAAAGAGATGGCATAATTCAAAACTAAATATAAAAACTAAATATAATTGTTGGCATTAAAGGGTAAAATACAGAATAGTTTCTCTTTGAGCAGTTTATGAAACACTAATGATGCAAAGAACAAAAATCACTCTAGCTCAAAAAGCAAAATCCAGGGTAGCCTCCTTGTAATGTCAACATATTTTCCTATGGAGAAATATTCATGCAAAAGGGAGTGTCTTTGGTCAGCATGGAACAGTGGAAAACAGAAAATGCTGGATTTTGCCACAGGCAAAGTGTGACACAGCCTGGAAGTGACCCTAAGAAATGCCTTGTTTCTTCTCCGCACCAAATATTATTCTAAAAAGGTAGACTGTGCACAATGAACAAAATCTCCACCTGGATGACAAATAGTTTTTCGTGTTACCTGCCAAAGTCTGATGAACTACAGTGGAATTTCAGAGGACTGTGCCGAATGGCTGAATGAACACTGCAGGAGCGAGTGTCATGACTGATTGGGCTTGCCTGCACAAATCCAGAGAACAAGGGGTACCCTAACTGCATAATACTTGCTTTCACATTCCCTGATTTTTAGAACACAAAACTTTTGAATGTACTCTAGAATTTATTTATATTTCTGTACAGGGTAGCCTGATATCCAGGAGCCCAGCTATCCTGACCACTACAATTCTGATTTGTAAATCATTCAAGTTTTCTAAATGTACTTTTATGAACTTGGCTGTATAAACTCCAATGGGAAGTAGCACCTCCTCACAGTGAATCTTAGAAGTCAATTTTCTGAACTGATATATTGATGAGCAAATCCAGACTCCAGCAAATTCACAATGATAAATTTTATGTGACCTCTTTCTTAGAAACAAAATAGTAGGATGGCCTTCTCTTATGAAAATCATGGCATCAGACACTTTTATACATAACAAAGAATATCGATTAAGTTTAGTTTTCCATTAGCAAATGTAGTAATTTCCTTTTTCAATTTTTTTTCACAAAAGTGTTACTCCAATCTTACATGTTTAATTTTTTACAAATACTCTCACCATCTGTCATTATAAAGGTTAGGTGTGAGCACTGTAAATGGAGTAGATTAGTTCGCTTTCAGTCAATGGTTTTGTAAGTTTGTCAGCGCTAATTATATTTTTCACGTTACTTATGAATCTCTTTCCCAAGCCCATATATACTCAAATGTATTCTATTTATAACAACATCTTCTCCCATGATTTCTAGCTTTACCTTTCGAACATTTGCCAAGCGATTCATCATCAAAGATTCCTCCCGGTCGTCATCATCATCCAGGTCGAGCATGGGCATGCCAAAGGGGTCGATGATGCTGCAGCACCTGGACCCTTCATCTCGGGGATCAAAGGGGTCCACGATTATGGGCTCTGTTCCTTTGATTTCACAACGACAGAAGGGGCAACCCTGGCCATCTGACTCCTAAACAAATGCAGAAAATACACTGATCAGTCTTTATAAATGAGAAACAGCCTAAATACATGTCAATATGGTACGTGCACAAAAAGTTGTAAAAGAAAAAGAAAATAAGAAACTGAGGTTTGTGTGTAGGAAGTAGGGGGAGAAAAAAAGGATTCTACCCTTCAGCTTTCGGACTGTTCATTTGTAATTGTAATGTACCAAGGCTTTGAAGTTCTACAGAATACTGAGAACTCTATCATGTGTTTCTTTATGAAAAGGAAACAAAGCTAACTAAGCATTTTGTGACAGTAAAGGAAAGCAGCATGCATGCCATAGGTTCACCACTACTGTTCTGTTGAAGGACATTACGGTAAAAAATTCATAATAAAACAGTAATACCAATTAGAATACTCCATTTTGGGCCAGGGACTTAGCTCAGTGGTTCCACTGCCTGCCTTGCAAGAGTAAAGTCCCAAGATCATCCCTGGTGCCAAAAAAAAAAAGTTCATTTTTGGGAAGTTCATTTTTGAGAAGTTCCTATGGATATACTTATGGTAAACACTTGTTTTCATTTTCTAGGTCTTTTAAAATCTTGACTTATTAAGGGGGAAAAAAGTAAACTCACATTCAGAAACTGTTATCTATCCTGAAAGCCTATCAACTTGATGAGGCGCATCTGAAATATAAATCTTCTTGAAATATTAATTTTATCTCCAATATGGCTTTCAAACTAAATACTAGGAAAATAACAAGGCTGTAAGTAACACAATATGTTATTTCAAAATACAATGCAAAGTCACAGTAACAAAAACAGCATGGTACAGGCACAAAAAAAAGACATGTAGACCAATGAAACAAAATAGAGGACAAAGAAACTCATAACTGCCTCTGCCGGATTCTTCAAAAAAGGACTAAAAGCATATTTTGAAGAAAAGACAACTTTTTTTTTTTGGCACCAGGGATTGAACTCAGGACCTTACACTTGCAAGGCAGGTGCAGTGCCACTGAGCTAAATCCCCAGTCTGAGACAACTTTAACAATGATGCTGGAAAAAACTGAGTATCTATGTGGAGATGACTGAAAATAGATCTTCACCTCTCACCCTGCACAAAAAGTGAATTCTAAATGGATCAGAGACCTAAATATAAGATCTGCCACTTCGAAAGTGATAGAAGAAAACAGGGAGACCACTTGAAGGCATAAGCACAGACATAGACTTCCTGCTTAGAATTCCAACAGCCCAGAAAATAATGTGAAATAGGAAGTAAAGGGATAAAGGTGTAAGGAAAGTGGGAAGGGTGGGGGAAAGGTAATAAGGGAGAGGAAAAAAATATGAGAAACTGAAAAAATGGAAATAAAGTGTTTGTAAATGGGGAGGGGAGGAGGGGGTGAAGGGAGGGCAGGGACAAGGGAAAAAATGAGAATCAAGAACTATTATGTAAAGGTACAGAATCCCAATGATGAATGTAATTGTATTGTATACCTAGATTGTACCAATAACCTCAATAAAAAGAAAAAAAAAGTGGGATAAATCAAATTTAAAGCTTCTGTACTGCCATGGAAACAATCAACAGTAAATAAACAGTGTATAGATCAGGTGAAACTCTGCCAGCTATTTTTCAAAGAATTATTTTCTAGAATATATGAAGAATTTAAAAAAACAACATTAAAAACCAATAGTCGGGCTGGGGATGTAGCTGAGTGGTTCCAGTGCCTGTCTTGCAAGCACAAATCAAATTTAAAGCTTCTGTACTGCCATGGAAACAATCAACAGTAAATAAACAGTGTATAGATCAGGTGAAACTCTGCCAGCTATTTTTCAAAGAATTATTTTCTAGAATATATGAAGAATTTAAAAAAACAACATTAAAAACCAATAGTCGGGCTGGGGATGTAGCTGAGTGGTTCCAGTGCCTGTCTTGCAAGCACAAGGAACTTAGTTTGATCCTTGGTATAAAAAAAAAAAAAAAAATCAAACAGCCCAGTCAATAAATATGCATATGAGTTGAACAGACACATTTTCCTTGAGACAGGGTCTAACTATGTAGTTCAGCTGGCCTTGAATTAACTATGAGCCCCAGCTGGCCTCAAACTTGCAGCAATTTTACTGACTCAGCTTCCCAAATGCTGGGATTATAGGAGTGTGCTTTCCCCCAAAGGGGAACAGACACTTAAAGAAGTACAAATGGCCAGTAAGTGTATATTAGAGGGGAGGAAGAGGATGAAAGGGGAACGTAAAATGAATTAAGACGTGTTATGTACAGGTAGCAAATCTCCACAATTAATGTAATCATTATGTACTGTAAACATGTACAAAAAATTAAAAATTCAGAACAGAGTTCAATATCTTTAGCAATCAGGGAAATGCAAATGAAAACTACACTGAGAATGCCACTTCCCCAATCAGAATGGTTTTTATCAAGAAAACAAAATACAAAAATTGTTCATAAGGACGTAGGGAAAAGGGAACCTTTCTATACTATTTGTAGAAATGCAAACTAGTATAGCCACAATTGAAATTAGCAAAGAGGTTCTTCAAAAATGTAAAAATGGAACTATCATATGATCCAGCCATATCAACCCTTGACATATACATGAAGGAATTTAAGTGATCATGCTATAGGGATACATGCAAATGCATGTGTATTGTGGCACATCTGGCAATATTCAAGATACAGAACCAGGTACCTGTAACAGATAAATGAGTAAAGAAAATGTGGTATATGTACACAATGGAGTATTTTTCAGCTATAAGAAAGAACAAAATTGTCTCATTTGCAGGAAAATGGACAGGACTGGCAATCACGTTAAATGAAATAGGTCAGAAAGACTAGTATCACATGTTTCCTGTAATATATGGAACCTAAGCAAAAAACTAGTGTATGGAAGTAAATGGGATACTACTGTTAAGACAAGAGGAGGGAAATAAAGGTGTGGGGTGTAAGAAGATAATGGGGGATGGATATGCTTAACATGTTATATGCATATCATTTCTATTTATTAATTAAAATACATTTTAAAAGATTTGTTCAAATATTATAAGACTGGAGATGGAGATACTGTTAATTATTACAGAATTTTCTAAAAGTTTCCTAAATTAATTTCTCTAAACTATTAACAAATCACGATTATCACAGTAGACTTTTCTCACCCTGTCTTCTAAAGATACACAGTATACAAAATTTACCATCCTATTTTTGATTTTGCATTATACCCTGACTCTATAATTCTGATTATTTTAAAAATTACTGAAGTCATTGTAAGGGAAAAACAAGATTTGTACATCAGCATCACTTTGGAGAATAGATACTCTGGTTTCTTTTCAGATTGTATAAATCTTTCCCCTTTTACTCTGGAGATTAGATGAGGATGCAGAAAGAACCAATATCCATGAAGAAATTGCCTAATACTTGACTTTAGGCTGTCTCAACTGCTTAGTTTAATGGGAGAATGATGGCCTCCTACCTGTACAAAGCAATGCTCAGATCAGTGGTGGAGAAATTCTCTAGCTTTACTCCAAGAAGAAAATTACCAAATATTGGGCAAAGCCTATGGTAGTTAGTTTCTTTAAACTTCTCTTGGATCAACAAATTACATACTTCCTTTGTCATGTAAATGGTCAATAAAAAGGAAAATGTACATTCTTGGGTTTGCTTAAAGAAAATAAACTACAACACACCCCTATTCATCTGCTTGTATGTAATGTGAAAAACACTTAGATGGCAAAATTTTTGAACTAAGGTGGTACAAACACAGACATCGCTACACAGAATCCTTGACGTCTACCATCACATATGTTCACGTCTGGAGGCTTCAAAGTACTGTAAAGGCTTTTGAGTCACTATTTCACAAATGATTAAATTAAGATTTAATTCTTCCATTTTAGATAACCTCTTCACATTGACTTTTTAACACAGGAGTACTAAAGGAAATCTAAATCTTCCTCCCATCTTTCAGTAATATTGAATGTAGAGCATATTCAATAAATGTTATTATCTAAGCAAATTTTCCTTATTAAAATGTCAAAAGGGACCCATTCTGCACACCTATGATGGACTTATCTTACAGATCTATGTTAAGATACTTGTAAAAAGCTGGTGTGATTATACAGGAGGGAGCTGAAAAGAAGTGCTGCTCTGTATTTCAAAGGAAAAGGAAGGTAAAGCAGTACTCTGTGACCTAAGAGGACATTTCCTTCATAAATATTTGAAAATTATTACAGAAAACTTCAGACACACACAAAAGTAAAGAGAAAAGTGTAATGAATCTCTGTGTACCCACCCCCACCTACCTCTCCCTCTGCTTTTGGATTATTGTGAACCCATCATGCATATTACATAAAGTCATCAATAAATATTTTAGTATGTATAAACAGTAACAAAAAAATCTGTTAAAGAGTAACTATAGCATAATTATCATAATTTACAAAACAAGCTAAATCATTAAAGTCACATCACTTTGGACTGCAGTGCCTAGAATACACAAACTGCTCTGTCAGGCTACAAAAGATCAAGGTCAACAAACATGTTGTTTTGGTGAAGCATGGCTTATAGTTTATGTGATCTTTTTCCACATAAGAGTAACTGAAAAGATCTCAGTTTAGAAGAAGAAGGAGGTGAAAATAAGGATCATTTCTCGACATACAAGAAAAAGATTTGGCACAGTTCACCTAAAAAGGAACTTGGGTTTTTCTCTAATCTTCCCACCCAAAAGTTTAATGTAATACAAATGACTAATGTGTGTCAGAGTAGCTGTTATAATGAAGTTATCACAGTAGGTATTTTCTGCTCAGCTTTATTTACTCAAAGTTTTTATTACAGATCAACAAATAGATGCAATTATCATTCTGATTTGCAAACAGATCACACAAACTGTATCTCCTTACTGGTACTTACTCTAATATAACTTCACCCATCACTCTTCTTTTATAAACTGACTACTGTCATATGCAAATTAAGTCTAACCATAAATCCCCAAATGCTACTTTGATTATTCCGCCTACTTTCTGTCATATGGTTGAT